GTCCGCGTTCCTAATGCGCTTGACGGGCAACTTGCCCCTAGTCTTGGTGGGGGGAGGACTCGAAACCTTCCTCTGTCTCTTGGCCTTTGACACCTCAGAGCCTGAAGCTTCCATGCGTTCAGGGGGGTTTGTGTCATCTTGGCCGTGGGGTAGCGCCCGCAAGAGGGCCTTTTCTACCGAAGCCGCCACGGCGGCGTTGATCATGGTTTGGAAGTCTTGGGTGCTTTGAGTATCTTCCATGATCTGGGGCTTGTATCGACCTGTTGGGCGAAAACAAGGTTCAGTGGAGGAGAGCCACGTACAGATATAGATTGACTCTGAGTATGTTTAGAAGGCTCTATATGCACGTAATATTTGATTCAGGGCAATATGCGTATCTCAGTACCTAGGAGGTATGGGCCCTTGTGCATATCAACGGGGTTTGCCCCGGGTGGTGTGCCGTGGCAATCAGAGGACACCCACATCAATTAAATTGGGTCGTCAGCGCCCTTGCATGCGTATCTGGGGGGTCACCCCAGGTGGTGTGCCATGAAAAAATACCCAGAGGACACCCACATAAATTTGCACCCTTAGGTACAGTCGTGTAATATGACTCTGTGTAGGGTAATTAATATATCATACCCCTGAGGGTAAAGTAATGTCAGATCCCCTGTGGGGTATAAATGTATATGTCCCAGCAAGGGACAGTGAGTCAATCTGTACAATTGATAAAGAGCCTTTAATAGTCAACTTCATAATACATTTCATGTGCATGCAATTTCTCTGCCTCACTGAGGCAAAAATACAGTGTGGGAAAAAACTCACCCTTGAAGGGTGTAGGTGTAGCATAAAAAATATAATGGGCACTTGTGAGCAGCTGGGGGGTCACCCTGAGGGCACTCCCCGGTATCGTGGCGGCGATCGGGTGAATCCCGAACCGCTGTGTGTGAAGGTGAGGCGGCCGTCGCGGATCTCGCGAGCCGCGAGATCCAAGATGGCCGCCGGCCGCGTGGATAGGGTTGTCTCGCTCGCGGCCGCGAGCGAGGTGAAGAAAGCGCGGCAAACTAAAAATAAAACCCCGGCTACCCTCCACCCGTCCCCAACAGTCCCTGTGTGTGGAGAAAAAGCGGGTCCGCGTGGTGAGCGTGGCACCGACGGCCGCGCCGCCCGCGGACCGCCGAAAGAGAAAATAAGGGGAAAAATAACACAGCAGAACAGAGACACAGGGGGGAAATACTAAAGAGCAGGGGGACAGGTATAGGCAGTCAGGGGTTAAAGTAGTACAATAAAAACACAATAAAAATACAGCAATACATAAGGTATACTAGAGGTAAAATTACTCTGACCTGTATATGGCTGGAGCAGCAAAGAAAGAGGAAGTGATGTCATAGACAGGGCCTTTTATGGGCACCATATCTTTTTTCTGATTGGTTGTTACTGTTTCTATGCTGCTGGAGTTTTCAGTAAAGAAAGATATGCAAATATGAAGCCTCCTGTCATGTGGTAAAATCACAGCTTGGCTACAGTGAATTTTATATTTGGGGTTTTCATTCCACTATATAACTTCCTAATTCCCGTTATGTAAATGATGCCCTAAATCCTTTCAAAACACAAGAGCCAAAAGTCATTTGGTCTGGCAGCCATTTTGATTTTGGAGACCATTTTCTCAAAACATTCAAAAATCTTCTTAACAACTGCATATGCCGCAGACATGAAAATTCCTATGTGAGATTATCCTCTGACATACTTTCTGATTCCTTTAAGTGAAGACCCAGGACATACTTGAAAACGAGAGAAATCTCAATGTATCTTTTCCGGTAAAATATTTTATAAGTAAATAATGATAAATAAATACGTTGACGGGTCACATGGTCCAACAGCAACACTGGATTGTGCAAAAGTCTTCTACTAGAAAAATATGAAATGTGGCCAGATCCTGATCCTCCATCACAGTAAATTCATACTAAAATCAAGGTGGCTGCTACTAGCCAAATACCTTCAGGGTGTTCAAGAAACTTGTTAACCATATGACTTCTGCATTATCGGAATATGTGACCCCTGCATTATCGGTGTCTATGGTCTTATCTTCGAACAGCTCCCTTGCGGCTTGCAACTCCAATGCTAATATTCTCTTGTTTTGATTGTAGGTTTTAAATCGTAACATTGTATCTTAATGAACTTTGATCATTTATCAATGTCATTATGCTCTATTACTTTTGAAAAGATTATATATATATTTATTTTTTTATCTGTTTTCTGATACAAACAATTATAAACCAATGATAAGATAGTGTAAATATAAGTTCAAATACATTAAGGAGGATAATTAGACACAGCATAGATAACATGACCTTCAGATCTTATGGCTCTTATAGATATGCAGAAATGCTGTACAAATATTATTGAATAATTTGTTTATTATGCACCCACATATAACAGGGGAGTACTGTAGTCATTACAGCATAAACTCTGTTAGGATGAAGAAATCTTGGAAACAGAAGATAAGGCCAGTACAGAATATTGTGCGCTATATCTGGATTTGTACTTCATAAAACAACGTATCTGATATACATTTTTAATTAAAGTTTCATTTTATTATTAGTTCAATTTTAAATGACCTGTATTAACCTCAACCATTTTTCCAATTCAGCTGGTTTTTCCTACAAAATTGCAATAAACCATACATCTTCTAATATATAACACCATTAATTTAGGTCACAGTCTATAGTATGCAGTCCTTTTGATATAATGTCCCACTAGCAATTTTGTAAACATAAGTGCCGTCTTTTAAAGGGCCCCTCCATGCACCATAACAACTTCACCTCAATTAAGTCATTATGGTGTCTGGAATGTCTCTTTAAATGAAGTCATGTGAACACTTGTGGAAGTGTTTCCATGGCTCTAGTTGATCTCACTGCTATATAATATTGCTCTCTAAACTGAGACTCGTCAAGAACTGAACAGGAAGTGAACACATTTTAGCCGCACATTAGGCTGAGCCTAACTAACAAGGAAATTGAATTGATGGAGAAATGGGCGGACTCTTCCACCCGACCTCAGTTTTTAATTTAGCAGGTGTTTGTATATTGTTAACTCTTGGTTGGCTTCTGGGTTCAGTTATTTATTCAGTTATTCCAGAACTTTGAAAGCATGCATGGTGTCACTACTATGGTCAATTTGATTGGGAAAATGTGTAAAAGGAAATACATTGTGATCCTCCTGGCACTGAAATAGATCAAATAAAGGTTACTGTGTAACAGTTCTGACAGATTACCAACACTGTAAATGTACAACCAACTTAGTATCCTTATCACACAGTTTATCTCACACGTGCTATCTTTAATATCGTAAGAGTTATGCAAGTCGTTACCTTGGGAGATTTTCAGTGATGTTGCAAACTTTGCCCAACACATTCCAGTAGAAATAATTATTCCAGGAAGAGAAGAAGGATACAGTATCCAAAATGAAAACATAGTCAATAAGATTTATATCATTACTCTACTGATGATAATCAATTAAAGGGACACTGTAGGCACCACAACCATTTCAGCTCATATTATCATAAGCCTGAGGTCCTCTGGTGCTGTCTGTCTATTCAGTGTTAAAATATTTTCAAACAGGTTAACAATAAATGAGGGTCCTTGGCCACAGACAGCTCTACCTACACTGGAGGTAAGGCTAAGAACGAGATTACACATTTCCTTGTAGCCATACCAATTCATACCACTGATGGGCACTTTGATAGGTTGAAAGCCAAGGCCCCATCTCACACTCATACTCACTCATAGGAACAGCGATTGTGATGCTCTGCATTTAACACCCTGCAGTAACTCGCACAACACCAAGGTACTGACGGAAGCTTGGAAGATACTTCACCTAATTTATTCTTACATTGCTACTATATTATCATGTGTTACTATTGAATTATTACCATTTAAACCTGTAGTTTGCCACTGTAATTTTCTGTGCATGCAGTTTGTATCATTGTCATTTAATGTTTCTGACCAATATTTCATGCAAAAAAAACAACAGTATATGTGAACACAACCCCAGTGAAAATAAAACAATAAAAGAACAAACCAAGACTTCCCTTATCTTAAGGTGAAGTATCCAGATGGATCCCCGAAGACTTCCTCTTGTCTTCAATAGATATACACAGAAAAAAAGAAGCACATGTTCGCAAAACCTTATGAAATTAATAATTGAATTTAAAAAACAAGAAAGAGAACAAATAGAGATAGATATAAAAACCTTAGAATCTGAAGGAAGTCAAAATATAGAATCCAATAAATATAAAGAAAAAGAACAAGAAATTTGCAATGCAATTAACAACTTAGAGGAAAGGATTGCGGAGACTAAAAACAATAAAATGAAGAGAGATAGAAGAGATAAAACTTTTAACACTTTCTCCACTAGTAATAAAATTAAAAATAAACGAAAAGGAAACTCTGATAGAGGTAATAGGAACTTTGAGGGGTCATATAGAAACACTTTTTTTAGGAAACCTGACATTTATAAAAGAAACACTTCACCTATGCAAATAAGAAATTTTCCAATTAATCACACACGGGGGGGCGGGGCCGGGCCGCCAGGCTGCATGGCAGCAGAACCTCATGTCTCCCAGGCTGAGCCCAGGAAAACGGCTAAAAAACAGCACACAGAATACAATAAAGCTGGATTCATCTACATACTGATGAAGAGGAACACATAAGCTATCCGAAGATACCACACTGAACCCGGTGATGGGAACATTGAGTCTCCTAAACCGGGCCTACACGCCATAATGAGCCTGGACATGTAAGACACCTGTAGGCGCACAGATAGCAGCCCAACAGGCCGGGGAAGACTGACACCCGGCAATTCTTCACTGAGGACAGCAAAGCCACAAGGGGTGGCCCGGCCCTGCTTCCCCCCCCCCCGGCCGGTGGGGGTAATCCCGGCCACATGGGGACGACATACTCCAGGGCGGAAGAAACCGCATGGGGCCAACACGATCCCCTAAACAGGCAAAGGCCACCAGACTGGGGCCCGCCTGCAGACTTACTCCAAAGGAGACGGAACACAGAGGACTAAACAAAGGAGACTGACTGAGGCACCTCGTACAGGCCCTGGCGGTGCCGGGCGCCGGACAGACCCCCCACGCTGAGCTCCCGACCACTAGTGGAGCGGGCATCTGAGCCTCTGGGTCTGTGGGGTCCCCGGAGAGCTTTTGTCCCTGATGCCGCGAGCCCGGTGGGGCAGGACCAACGCTGCCCTCCCGACGGACCGGTGGTCGGGGGGGATAGCCACCAGCTCCAAATATGTGGCCGGCACCGGGTGAGACAGCAGAGTGCGCGCTCGAAGTGGACTCACGTGTAGCTGGGGAGGTGCAGGGAGCAGACGACCCGCGGATTTTGTGGTTGGGTCCAAAGGACGGTTCATGCTCCTGAGTGCCCACAGTGCCGCGGAGGGCCCAGCTGGCGGGCGGGGGCCGGCTGGGGGAGGACGAAAGGAGGCCTGGCGACCCAGGGACAGTATGATGGAGACGCAGTGAGAGACTCCTCACAGACGGCCATGCAGGCCGACATGATGATTCAGCAAGGCATAAGTTACCTCATCAAGATGTGCTTTCTTACCTCCATATAGGAACACTGCATCAGCTCCCATATCACTAGGGAACTAATGGAACATGCAGGACTCTAGCTTAAAAATGTGTAAGCTAGGTCTAGGCTCATACCCTTTATTACTGCTTAACGATATACTGCTCCTTAGTTCATACATACTCAGCTCAGTTTAAAAACGAATATGTCAAAAGTCTGACAGTTTTTATTTTAGTTATTCATTTATTGTTAGTTTCAATTTATATACATTGGTTCCACAGCATGCCTACAGTGCAATTAATAAGTCACAATTATAATGCTAATAGATATGATTTACTATCACCTGACTAGTGCAATACCTCTGCCATTTAAGCTTACCACACCGTACGATTAAGCAATTATTTGAGTTTGTGTGAAACATACATATAATTTTTTTGTTTGTTTGTTTGGGGTTTTTTTTTTTTTTTTCTTCTTCACATTTACAGTATATTTAGCAATGGTATACACCTGATTGTGGCATTCTATACTAAATATTTACATAGGTGCACCCTGGCCTAAAACTGAATATGACAAAAGAAGGCAATACGCGGTGACTACATTAGATATCGTTAAGTTTATATCATTTGATATTATTGAATGTTATTTAAGGTTTCCGTTCAATTCGCGAGAAAACTTGATTACAAGTGGCTAAAAATTGGCTCACAAAGTGACCAGCAGCGCATGAACACAGCACTGAACTTAAATGCTTAGGTAGGGTCGACGACTGACAGCCTGTAAAATCATACTGGACCTCTGCGTAGGCCCCAGCTTATTGCTTAATTACTTTTTAGCACAATGAACCTCTGCACAGGCAACACTGCAGTAGCACACACCTGCTCCGCCGTAGGATATTCGATAAGAGGCTTATTAAAATAACACCCTAGGCCATAACATATGCCATACTGCCGCATACCGCCTCACTGAGACACAAGCAGCCACATGCCACTCGCGCCCACAGTGAACATACATTAAGCGCTGTTTAAAACAGTTAGCGCATACATCTGGCTTGAGAAGAGCCCGCATAACACTCAGGGACCTGAACATAACTGCAACTTATTAAGAGATATACATCCCATCTTTACCGTGCATTTAAAAACAAATATACTCCTTATGTTGAAAGTTCGAAAGCTATTATTTTTAATGTTTTGTATATCTACCTCATAGCATACCTATTGTGCAAATAAGGAAACAGTGTCATAATGTCAACAAATATGATCTAGCATGGCAACACAATGCCAGACAAATGCACCGCTTTAGCCACAAAAGTGATAAAGTTCACATGTTAATACAGAGTACAGCATATTTAACAGCATGTTTAATAATGTGGTAGTATGTATATCCTTTTACAAGAACTGCATCGATAACACAGGCCTACATCAGACTGTGCATTATGAGAGGATTGTTTTGTTTTGACAGACCATTAGCCAGTATAAATATCCAGCCACATGTGTTGCATAGTTCGGTGCAGAGTACATATAAGATAACCTTGAGCGGTGAGCACTAGATACCAAATGAAAAGTGTAACACATTATAAAGCTATAACATGATATGATAAACTTGTACACATAACTACTCATGTTTTTCCATAAAAAGTGCATTGTTTACGCTTTATCCCCTGCGTGGGAAAACTGCTTATTGTGTTGACCTCAATAAAAACAGATTTAACACAATTAATCACACACGAAATACACCCATTAAAACTAGAAGATATTCTAATAATCGCACACAAAGTCCACTTATCACGAGACGAAAAACATTTACTTCAAACAATATCTCACAGACTCAAAATACTTCCCAACAAAGAAGTAGGAGAGAATTGATTTCTCCAAGTCGGTGTGATTCTCCCCCTAGGAGATCGTATGCCCAAGTAACAAGAACTAGCCTGGAACATCCAGAAGAAAGGGAAAATCTTTTTTTAGAGGGAGGGTCCCAGCACAGGGATGGGAGAATAACCCAATTTTTCAAACCACGTCACAATCACCAGGAAACGATACCAGATATTCACGCAACTCCCCCCAAAAGAAAAAGAATAGAGGAGAATCCAAGGAGAGAGGACTCCCTAAGACAAAGATACTAGAGAAACAATATGGAATTTATAATTTAACAGACATAGAGTTAAGTCACACTGATTTAAAAGCTTTAAGTAAGGGTTTAAAATTTGCCCCGAATCAAAAAATGAATTTTTTTAATACATACATTGACGTTCAGAAATATATCCGCAAAATGACATTAAAAAGATTCTTTTTAAAAAGAGAGATAGAAGAAAATATATTCTCAGAAAATAGAGATCATACTATTCCAGAACAAAAACAATTTAAAAAGAAATCACAGTTCTATCCAGTAGGGGATAGAGGCCCTTTCTTAGAAACTTTCAATAATATGGTGTGCCATGACTTAGAAAAATTAGAAAAAGAGAAGAACTTAGGAGAAAATAAATATAATATGAGTAAAGAAGAATCAACAAGCATAACTAAATTACAAAAGATGGACACCATAGTAATAAAGGAAGCCGATAAAGGGGGAGCGATAGTCATTATGACAAAAGAATATTATATGAATGAGGCGTATAGAATCTTGGGAGATATAGAAACTTATATTAAACTCACAGGAGATCCAACAAAAAAATTTAACAGTATTTTGGGATCCTTATTAGATCAAGCCTATAAAAATGATATAATCTCCAAAAATAATAAAGAATATCTTTTTAATAATTTTCCAATAATACCTATTTTCTACTTTCTCCCCAAGTTACATAAAAATCCAGTAACCCCCCCCAGGTAGACCAATAATCAGTGGCATTAACTCTGTATCTGCTCACTTATCTGAATTCGTGGATCATCATCTTCAAAAGTATGCACAAGAAGCACCTTCTTATTTGAAAGACACTGCACATATTTTAAGAATTTTGGAGAGTGTAATTTGGGAACCCAATTATATCTGGGTGACCATAGATGTCACGTCATTATATACAATAATAAAACATAACAAAGGTTTAGCAGCAGTGGAACAGATTATGGAGAAAGACGAAAGTATATCGTCAAATTTTCGAAATTTTATTCTAAATAGTATCCACTATATTCTCAAACATAATTATTTCTTCTTCGATGATTCATTTTATCTCCAAACCACAGGTACAGCCATGGGGACCAGGTTCGCCCCCAGCTATGCAAACATATATATGCGGGATTGGGAATCCAAGCATGTATGGGGTGGGCATGGCTGGGTAGCGAACCTGGTCCTATGGAAACGCTTTATTGATGACATAATTTTGATTTGGCGAGGTCCACATGAGGATTTGTCATCGTTCATTGATTATATTCATCAAAATGATTATGGTTTAAAATTCACATATGAAACAAACATTACCACTATCAATTTTCTTGATTTAAGCCTATTTATAGAAAATAATCAGATTCAATCTAAATGCTTTTTAAAAAAAACAGAGGGCAATAGCTTTATTCACAGAAAAAGTTGTCATAAGGATAAATGGTTGGAAACTATACCAAAAAGTCAGCTAATACGAGTGAGAAGAAATTGTACAAAGAACTCAGACTATAGATAACAGGCTGAACACCTAAAAAATAAATTTGTGGCAAAGAAATACGAAACAACATTATTAGATAAAGAAATTAAAGAAATAGAAAAAAGAAATAGAAGAGATCTAATAGCACTTAATCCTAAAAGACATTCTAAGGATAATTATAATTTTTCCTTTACGACTCAATACAATACACAACACTGGAAAATAAAAAAGATCCTCAATAAACACTGGAACATTTTGCGTCAGGATCCCATCTTGGGCAAAGTGTTGCCAAAAAAAACACCAGTCATTTTTAGGAGAACAAAAAATCTAAAAAATGTATTAGCACCAAGTTACGCTTTAAAAATTCCACATAAGGGTGTGATTTCCAATATTAGTGGTTTCAATCCTTGCAACTCTTGCAAAGCCTGTAAAAACCAAAAATTTGTACAAAAGAGAGAATTTATGAGTTTTACTACAAAGGAGAAATTTAAAATAAAATCGAATATAAATTGTAACACGAGAAATGTGGTATACATGTTACAATGCCCTTGTGGGAAACAGTATGTGGGGAGAACATGTAGAACGTTAAAAGAGAGAATATTAGAACATCAAAATAATATAAGAAAAAAATCATTGAAACATATAGTACCATTACATTGTAACACTTGTAATAAATTTGATTGGCAGAGTTTCACTTTTTTAGGCATAGAACATGTGGACCCATATTGGAGAGGAGGAAATTTAACCAAAAAGCTCTCTCAAAGAGAGACTTTTTGGATTAACAAATTAAAAACACTTCAACCTTTTGGCCTAAACTTAGATATTGATTTATGGAGTTTTTTTGAAGATTGAGTGAATTATTAATTTTATATTTTGATGTTTGGGAAACATTGTACTTTTTTCTCACTTGATAAATTAAGTTTTTCTTATATTTTTTATATTTTTATATTTTTCTTTATATTATTTTTATTTTTATTTATTATTTTTGATTTTATTATTTTTTATTTTTTATTTTTATTTTTATTTTTATTTCTATTTTTATTCTTATTTTTGATTTGATTTTATTTTTATTTTATTTTTATTTTCATTTTATTTTTATTTTTATCTTTATTTTCATTCCTAATTTGTAATTTCATATTTTATTTCTCATTATTATTTTATTTTTATTTTTATTTTTATTTTCATTTTTATTTTCATTTTCATTTTTATTTTTCTTTTTATTTTCTTTTTTCTTTTTCTTTTCATTTTTCTTTTTATTTTTATTTTTATTTTATTTTTTATTTCATTTTATTTTATTTATAGTTATTTATCCTTATTTATTTTCATTTTTATTATTTTCATTTTAAGGTTCAGTTTTTAATGTAGTTTATAAATATAAATTTATTCCATTTACCTTTAGGAAGGAGACAAAAAGTGCAATGTAAATGGGTTATATCAATTATATTATTGCTTATATATTATATATATATGTATACTGTTTGCTACATCATTTAAGATGTTAAATCATGTTATTATTCATGTATTTTATGTAATATGATATTTTCTCCATATAAATTATATGAAGGGAATTGGTATGATAAATATGTGAGAAAACGTTTTGTGAAATTTGTATTTAATGAAAACGGGATATATGTGTATATATGTATGAGCCCATAACTATTGATCGTATTGAGAATGTGCATATTTAGTTTGTAGTGCCGTCCAGAGTATATTTTTTATTATTGATTCCTCCCCTTTTCGCTTTATTTACCCGTGTGCATATGCTTCGAGTCAATGCACAAGAATAGGAAAGATAGACCGACGATCGTGACCCACTTCCGGGTCTGTGGAACGCAAGGTGGAACGCACGCGGTGTACGCGATGACGTCACTCGATTTCATACCGCCGAAATGAAGATTGAACACCAGCTGAAAGACTTTAAATTTCAAATGGGGGGTGTATATAAAGGACTGTGGGGGGGGATATTGTTATTATTGCTGTTATTTTTGATTGCACCTTATCACATCAAGTCCCTGAGGAAGTCCAATCTTAGGAGGAAACGCGTAGGACGTTTATTGTGACATGCTGCTTGTTTTACACTTGAATGTAAGTTATTAAAATACTTTTTATTATATTCTGGAAGTGCACTACATTTTTGTACATTTTCTCTCTTTGAGACATATATACCCATTTGCTGATGAATATGTGAGGAGGGACAACACACTGGACATTGAAAAATATTATTTAAAGCTGCTTTAACTCCATAAAGACACCATTCAAGGCTTTTTCAACTCCTCAAAATTGTGAGTGACCATTTGTGATTGCACATCAGTACCAGTCTCCACACAGTTATACGCTATGTTTTTTTTATTTCATTTATATTTAGCAGATTGTCCCCTATTTTTCTGTCAATATTTCATGCACACAGTTATTTATTTTGGGTGATAGAATTTGGTTGCTAAACTTTTCAACACATTGCTACTCTACTCTCCCCCATGCTCTTCCTGGCTGTAAATGCCTTCATATAACTGTTCTATCTCCATCTCTGTTCTTCAGGCCTCATCTCACACTCATACTCACTCATAGGAACAGCGATTGTGATGCTTTGCATTTTTCTTTTTTTTTTGCTCACCACCCACCCACCCAGGTTCCCCCTAAATATATAGCCCGCTCCTCCAGCTGTTTGAGATTCTCACTCAATTACCTCTCCATTCCCGTTATAGTTTACCAATAGCTGCTTCTCTTTGTTAACTCTTTTAGCTATCACCTCCAAACTTCCCCTGCTACCTCTTGTCTCCAATCCCCATTGTATCCTTTGGATTGTAAGCTTGCGGGCTTGTGATTATTCTTTGTTCTAGAATGTAATTACTTTACCCACCACTGGGACATGTTAAAAGAGCTAAACTGGCTGTCGCTGGAATCCCAACACACTCTTCATCTTTCCAGCCTTGTGCATAAGAGCATTTCTGGGAAGCTCCCACCCTACCTGAGTAGAATGCTCTCCCCAGCTGTTCCCACCTCCTATAACCTCTGATCCAGTACTAGCACAATATATAGCATACCACAATACAAAAAGTGGCTCTATCCTCATTTTCATACAGAGTGCCGCAATTATGGAATAACCTCGGGGACACAGTCAATCTTCATTCAATCTAAAATCTAT